AATGAAAGAAAGATTGATAAAAGTATTCAATGAGAAAACAATGATGAAGTAACTATTAATAATTTACAATATGAAGACAGAGATTTTTGCTTTCCCAATGACGACCTTTATGAAAAACTAAAATCGCAATCTGAAAGGAGCCTGTTAAAAACACCCAATGTCATATTAAGGAAAGAGAAAGACCCAAGAGTAGCTTGTATAAGCAAATATAGACGACCAGAGGCAGAGCTGTTACTAGAATTTAGATGTCTGGTTTCAAGTAACAAGCAAAGCTCTGTGGTTTTAAACCACTATCACAGAAAAATTAGAAGAAATAAAAAATAATCAGCCCTTGTTCCCTGATCCATAGAGAACATATATTTATATTACCTTTTGTCTATGGTATTTGTACAGACTGAACTCCTGCTGTGCATACTGAATGTTAAACAAAATTAACCTGAAACAATTCGTAGGTCCTCCACGAAAGGTCTTGTGCAAGAAGATTAGATGACTTCTATTATAGGTGCCCACATGCGTAAGATTAATAATTAGACACATAAAACACTGTGGAATGAAAAAGGTTTTTGAACTCCATATTATAACCAGATGGCAAAAGGTGGGAGACAGATGATACGAAGGAGAATAAGAAAAGGAAAATGGAGTAGAAAGGAAAGGCAAGAATATAAACCCCTATGTATGACAAAGCAAGGAGTAGAACATTATCCCTGAAATAAGGTTAGGGACATTATCCTTGAAATCTCTGATTCTCAACACTTAAGTTTTCTCACCTGAAAAGGATATATAATAATAATACTGATTTCATAGAGTATTTGGGAGGATTAAATTAGCTAATATATATATGAAGTTAGCACCTGGTAAGGGATTAGTAAATGTGAGCTGTTTTTATTGCTATGTTAATTTCAGGGAAAACATCCACTCTGTTGATTTAAAATGTTGTTAAAAATGGCTAGAAATTATTACAAATGCTTTCATTACTACCAAAAATTTGGATGCTAAAGGCATTGTTTTTATTTTCATTGTTCATGTTGAGTGCTCTTTGACACACATGTGTTGGAGCCTCCACTATGGAGGTAACACAGGTGATTTTTGTTCTCCTATAACTGGGGCGGCAGGAAAGCTGAGGGTATTAGGAAACGCTGGACACAGACAGAGATGCCACAGGGAGTCGTCTTCGCCATTCTCGGCCCCTGCTTCCCTCTTCCCACACACGGGCTTTCTGCGTGTGGCTGCCAACATGGCCCTGGGCAGGCCTGGGATCACTGCTCCTGATTCTCTGACAGCTAAGGGGAGAAACTTCTCACCAGTTCAGTGGAGAATACAGGCAAAGATTCAATTTTAGCCTGATGCAGCCAATTGTTGTGTCCATCCTGGTCCACTGTGGCCAGGACTATTGGGTGCTGGGATGGATGTCTGGCCAGATCTCTCTACCTCTGTGTCCAGGGAGGTAGGGGTAAGGCAATTGGGAGATCCACCAGAAGCAATTTGTTGCCCTGAAGACAGAGCTCAAGGAAAGGAAGTCAGAGATATCAAAAGAAGAAAATGGAACCAACAGAAGTTTATGGGTAATAGATGGGTGGAAGAGGGAGGAAGAACAGAATGGATAAGTAGAGCTTTTGTTGACTTGTAAAGGAGTGATTGCATTTATTCATTCAGGAGAAAATGTCATATGCTAGGTCCCTCTTGGAGTCATTGGAGTGTCAGGGAGAAGGTTCTTAAAGGCTGCTTTATCAGCCTGGACACACACGACCAGACACTAGTGTGCTTGGCAGGCTGAAAGGCATTTAGTCCAGGGCTTGTTTACTGCCCTAGGCTCTGCCATCTCACACTCTACGTTTCAATTCTGTTGACCAGGTACTGGTGGTATAAAGGATGGTTTTTAAAAGTGAAAAATCATAATTGATTATTTCTTACTGATTCATCTAAGTTTAGAAAGGAAAAACATCCATCTTGTGAATGACAATTGGCCCTCCACACCTGCAGGTTCTATACCCTCATATTCAACTAACCTCAGACTGAAACTATTTGAAAAAGATAACAATATAATAATTTTTAAAAGAATAATAAAATATAGAATAGCGGTTATGTACATAACATTTACAGTATATTGGATATTATAAGATGATTTAAAGTATGAGAGAAAGTATGTAAGTTATATGCAAATAATACGCCATTTCATGTAAGGGGCTTGAGTATCTGCAGATTTGGGGTGCTGGAACCAATGCCTCACAGATGCCGAGGGACAACTGTATATCCATGCTGTAGATTTTCCTTTTTGTTGTTTTTGCTATTGTTTGTTTTTTTCTGAAAAATCTAAAAATGTTTCAGACTTCTCTATATTATAAATCTCATTTTAAAGTGTGGAATCAAGGAAGTCTGCCAACTACTTTTGTTTTCTCTACTTTTTTCTCCAGGTTAGACTGCTTTGGCAAAAGAGAATAATATTACCTTACCATGTAAAACATGGTTAATGGCTTTAAAAGAATTCCCCAGCAACTGAATAATGGGCTGCCAAAAATATTCTCAGTGCCAAAGGATCTGAATATGTCTGTTCTATTTATTGTGTGTTTCTTATTTCATCATGACTAAGTGCTCACAAAAGAAATAAAAATCCAAACCTCTAGGGTATGTGGAATTTGAGGGCAGAAACAATATTTTAATATATACAGTTCCATATGTAGCATTTGAAGATGATTAGGAAAGTATAAACAGCAAAAAAATGATGAACCTGTAGTATGTAAGATACTCAAATTATTAATAAAGTTTGTGTCTAGGAAATAGAAAGAAGTTGTTCTACTATTGCTGTTGTGCTTGGCTGAGTGGATTAATATTGTTTATTCTAAGGAGTACTGAAAGTCTTATACCAAAAGCTTTTAATTTGTTCTGCCTGTTTGAATAAGTTTACATTTCTCAGAAATAGGAAGATGGAACCTATATCTTAATTAAAGCTCTCTGTTCAAAAATCCAGATAGTATAGTATAGCAAAATCACTTATTTTTACAATTTTACCTTGTTAGTAAATTGAATCTGTTAAGAAAAGAATGTTCTTAAAAATAAAATGAAAGAAGGAATATACTGAGAAGATCTGGGAAAACAATGGAAATGTAGAAACATTTAAAAGGTTCTTTGCTCAGTGGAAACAAGAGAAGTTCAGAGTAACATCTCAGCCACTCCCCACCCAACCCTTCCCTTATCCCCTGAGGACCCTCCCACTTGGTCTGTGTCTGACCATCTGGTTCTTACTTCAGCAGGAGACTCTTAATCTCTCCTCCTTCTTAGTTTGGGCCAGGCAATTGCTAGCGGCCTTGGCTTCCACCTGACAGGTTATGCATTCTTTGCCAGCGTCTTAATTGCCAGGATTTCAGAGGTAGGATAATCGTCTTCAAAGAATTACACATTGAGTAAATGTACCAAAATATCACACTGTGCCCCATAAAGATACGTAGTTATTATGTGTCAGTTGAAAATAATAATAATTAAAGAAAAAAATCCCTGAGATAGGGATTCTTAACTGTTTTTGCATGTGACTCAGAGGACATAAGACATCCACATGGGACCCACTGCCCTGGGCCAGGGGCCAAGAGAAATTCCTGGGCTGGTTAGCTAAAAGTCCATGGTTTTTTACTCCTACTCGGCAAAGCTTATTGGAATTCAGCGGGATAAGAGTGACTTCCTTCAGAAGATAAGCCTGAACTGCTTTAAATGTGTGTGTGTGTAATGCGGATCTGAAATGTGGTCCTTTATTATTTATAGAAATTATTTAAAACAATCCACTGTGATGAACTATTATGAACCCAAATCTCCTGGTGAAACATCATCTTCATGTTCTCTTGGGGCTAGTTCAGTCCTCTAAGAGAGCCAGAGATTTGGCCCTGGGGCCTCCCATTCCTGTATAACTGCCTACCTTTCCAGCAAGTATATCTAATGCCTGATAGTGACCGCCTGAAAATAAAGCATTTGAGGTGAAATTCTCAAGAAAGAAACCTAAGCATCTCTGAGTTTATTTTGATTTTAGGAAAAGAATCTTTCTAGCTGCCTCTGGAAGCTCAGTGCTGAACATACCACTTCCTGTTGAATTAACTTTTACAGAAAGGCAGTAATTATGAGTAACTATCTGCTGTGCTATCAAGCAACTAGTGCACACCACAACTTATGAATTTAGGGCTAGGTAGGTATTTACTTGCAATAGTTACTAAGATCAAAATATTTTTGCCACTGACTAAGTATCAGGAAAATGTAAAAGAACTATGGGTTAGCACAATCCCTTAACTTTGGTAAATGCAGAATTTTTATTAAAATGCTCTTTGATAAAAATTAGTACTTTTCCTTATATGAAGTACTAAGAAAATTATGTCTGTAATGTAGGGAAGAATTGTTACATGAAAAAAATTGTAGAAAGTCATTTTATATCTAGTTGTTCTTCACTTGTGGATTGGGATATACTATTCTTTGCGTTACTTGGAATAGAATGTTTGCAATTCTTCTTTTAAAAAAATGTTAATTCTCTGCTTCAACACTGGTGAGATAAAGGCATGGTGTATAATGAGTTGGAACTTCAGAGTGTCATCTAGTTTTCAAAATTGCTCTGTGACATTATTAGTAAAAGTTGAACTTCAGGGTGTATAACTTACAATATGCTGTTTCAGTACTTTTAACAGAAGAGTTTTATTCATAACATTCTCAACTGGACACAGATTTTCAGAGAATGAATAGAGTGGCCTACTGCTTTACCAGAGGGAATTGGGGGTAGAGGGCTTTGTCACATTGCAGGGTATATGCACTTAAATCCTTATGTGGACTCAACTTTTGTAAATGCAGAATTTTAATTCTCTGTTCTCTAAAAAGGCCATCTGGAGGCTGGAGATGGGGGTAATGCATTTAAGGGAAAACCAAGTCATCCCACTTACATGTAAAGCCAAATATCCAGCATATGTGTTCAAATGCAAGACGAAATTATCTGAGTCCTGGATGTGCACCGACCGCATCTCTCCCTTCTGTTGCAGGCTCAATATGGGAAAAGACATTTCGGCAGATCGGCTTTGAAAGGTAAGTAGGACTTGCACATCTCCATTTTAGCTAATGTTGTCCCATTTTATTCTGAGTAATTTATTGATTATAGATCAGCAGTATTGCCACTACTCCTTCAATAACTGTGTGATCTTGAGCAAGTCATCATCTCACCCCTCTGAGCCTCAATTTCTTTGTAAAGTAGAGCTTTATAAAGCCTTGCCTGCACAGACTGAAAATAAAGATGCAATGGGCAATGTATGTAAAAATGCTTCTTGACCCATGAAACAGAATAAAAGGTAAGTTATGTAATTAGAGAATCATCACTTCATATGTCATATTCAATTCTAAAGTTTTAGTGCAGTGAAATTTATATCGACCTTCCCAATTATTAAAATAGTTAGATCTTTTTAGCCTTAAGTAAAAAGATGAGATCATGTCATTCTTAGCTAAAAGCATTTCTACACCAGCGTCTCCCCAACAGAGAAAAAAAAGGATACACTATAATATCAGAAAATGTGCAGGTGGGGTCAATACAGTATCTACTCACTTGCCCTTGGAATTGAATGGCAGCATTTCAGACAGCTCTCTACCATTGGCGTTTAGCGTCTGATGTTGAACTTTCAGCTATTGAAAGAGGAAAAAGTAATTTTAATTTTGTTTTACCTTAAATTAGATTTGACCAGTTTCTTTCATCATATTGAAAATGTGTTTTTTCTGTGTATCGATCAAGCTGACAGAGCACTTAGAGCATATAAAAGAAAGGATAAAACAGTTTAAAATGCATTGTTTCTCCAGTAGCAATAGAGAATAATGTATCACCAGATCACTGTAGTAGCAATTCCTTTGCCATGTGTTAATTGATTCAGAGATTTATTTATTTCTCTACCTACACTGCCACTCACATCAGCACCACCACTTTGGGTTGCACAGTAAGGGCTCATAATTCTCAGAGTAATGGGGGAGATTGGCTTGGGACGGTCAGATCCCACAGGCCAACTTAAAACAAAGAATGGAAAGTCATGTGAAGCTTCATTCCAGTGGGAAATCTTTTCCCAAAGAATCTTTCTCTTGAGTCTTCTTTCATACTATGAAAAATTTCAAGCATATACAAAAGTAGAGAGAATAGCAAAATGAATGTGATGTATCTACTACCCAGATTCAATAAGACTTTGCCATACTTGTTTTATCTATTTTTTTAAGAAATATTTTAAAGAGGGACAAAATGACATGATGTCTGGGATTTTCTTTAAAATGATGCATATATCTCTGAAAAAAAATGGGCATTTTCTTCCAGAACCATAATCATACCTAAAACAAATCACAGTATGTCCTTAGCATCATTTAATAGCCAGTCAATATTTAAATTTCCCAATCATCTAAGAAATGTCACTTTTTATCAGTTTGAATTAGCATGCTACTAAAGCCACACATTCTATCTCATTATTACATCTCTTAAGCTTCTTTATTTAGATCAGTACCCCAAACCCCTCTGGTTTCATTGTGTTTTTCTTCACATCATTGACTTCTGAAGAAACCAGGTCATTTGTCTTGTATAATGTCTCTCATTTTGGATTTGTCTGTGTGGTTTAACTTGTTATTCTAACCCTCTATTTTATGTAAATTCAAAAATGATTCCACTTTCAGCCTTTGGGAAGAATGTCTTGTTGACTTCTCATCCTTTTGGCACAGACCCACGGTCTTTACAGTTTCCATGTTTCTGGCACAACTGGACATACTAGGCTGTGTAGAGTCGAGCCTGGTCAGCCTGTCTAGAAAGGAGCTCTGCTTTCTTTTGTAAAGAGTGTTTTTAAACCACAATCTTAGCACTAAGAATGCCCATCCATTCTGGGCCTTTTCAATAGATGGAGCTAGGAAACATATTTTTGTAAAAGACATCCTGAATTCATATAATAATTTGAATTCAGAAGTTTTTAACTTTTCTTATATTTATTTCTCTTTTCTTTTTCACTGAAAATCTTGGCTTTTATCAAAATATTTTTTTCATTTTAATATATATAACATTTTCGAGATAATTCTATAATAATATTATCCCCAATAAGATGAGTGGGTGAAGTTTTTACAATTTGTACTCATCCTAATTTAATATTCCATGAAGGAGGTGTAATCAAAAAACTAAAACTGAAAGTGTTTAAAAGTTTCTTTCTCTGTGTGATCATATCCCAAGTTTTATATATCATTTGATTTGTGTCAGAATCTTAATTTTAACAGATTTTATCTTTTGATTTAACTTTATTTTTGAACATACATTTCTATGACTTTTTTCAGGGAAATGTTAGTTTTGTCCCCTTCACTTGTACCCTGGCCTTCCTTTCTTCTATCACAATCATGTTTATTAACTTGGTTTAACCTCCTGATGTTTATTCTTGAATATGTAAGCTACTACTCATGTCTATCTGTGGCCTCACTCTGTTCTTGCGTGAAGAGTGGCTTATTATACACCTTCTTCTGCACTTTGAATTTTCCACTAAGAGGATGTATATCCCGGGAATCATTCCACATCAATAGATGTTCTTCACTCTATTAACCTGTGCGTGGCATCCCTTTGGTTGACTGAGCTAACACAAAGGGTAAGAAGGGTCAACTCAGACATACAAGTCAGGAATCTTATCCAGCATCAGGCTTTGCTAATAATTTCAAGGATACAAGTGATGTAGGGGTAGGAAATGCATGGAGAGACCCAGCATATCCCACGTGGATCCCAGATCTTTCATTTTCACAGCAGATCCAGGCTGTCTCAATAGTGACAGTGATAGAGAGTGATAGATGGGGTTTCTAATGAGATCTGGGGATCCCTCACATAGCAGAGAGCATTTAACTGTTAGCATTCCCAGTTTTATACCCAGGAAATGTAAATAGCTCCTGCGACATTCCCCAGGGAGTCATGCCTCCTCAGTCAATGGATTGGAGATTTGTTTTACCATAGAAATCTTAAATCAGGATGTCCTGCTTGAAGCATTCCACTGATGAGGACTCTTCATAGTAAAAAGTCATTAACTTGTTTGCCCAGGGATCTAGTTAATATGTTTACAAGGTTCTAAACCAGGTCCCCTACCTCCTCTGCCCCCAGTGCCACTTGTTTTAGCACCTCCTTCTCTGGTTGGTGCAACACAGTCCACTCAGCCAACACCCAATTGGTGGACACTGAGGCTGTTCCTGTCTTTTGCTCTTACAAAACAAAACAAAAAAAGGTTGTAACAAATAACCTTGCACACCCATGTATTGTTGCCAAATATCTTAGGGATAGATTCTCAAGTAAAATCAAAGAATAAGTTCATATGGAATTTTGCCAGATATTCCCCAATTTTTATCCATAGAGTTGCAACAATTTTCACTTCTAACAGCAGTGAATGAAAGTAACTTTCCCTAAAGCCCCAAAGTATGCTGTCAAATTCAGGATTTTTGCCAGTCTGATAGGTAAGAAATGGTATCTCAGTGTCCTTTTTTTTTCTTTCAGTATATTATGGGGGTACAAATGTTTAGGTTATGTGTATTGCCTTACCCCCTCCTTCCCCCCCAGCCCGGACTCAGAGCTTCAATGTGTCCATCCCCCAGATGGTGCACATCACACTCATTATGTATGAATATACCCATCCCCTCCTCCCACCTCCCATCTGCCTGATGCCCGATAAATGTTATTCCTATGTGTCCACTTAGGTGTTGATCAACGAAACCAATTTGATGGTGAGTACATGTGGTGCTTATTTTTCCATTCTTGGGATACTTCACTTAGTAGAATGGGTTCCAGCTCTATCCAGGAAAATACAAGAGATGCTATATAACCATTGTTTCTTATAGCTGAATAGTACTCAGTGTCTTTTTAATTTGAATTTATCTTGGTCCATTGTTTTCTGTAAAGAACAGTTTGATGTTGCCTAAATGTAGCAGTTTGGGTAAGAGCTTCTAAGATATTTAAGAAATCATTGATCAACAGGATTTGGCAATTGAAGCTACATTTTATTCCTAGCTTAAAGGGCTTTAACCTTTTTCTTACTTGGATAATGATTTAATACAAACAGCCACCATGTGACAAACACTGCGTTAAATCATTTCTATTCCATACAATAACACCATAGACCAGGAATTGGCAAATTTTACTATAAAGGTACAAATAATAAACATTTTAGCCTTTGCAGGCCATGCAGTTTCTATTACGGCTTCTCAGTTTTGCTGTGAAAGCATAAAGCAGCCATAGACAGTGGCTGTGGCTGTATGCCAGTGAAACTTTATTCACAAAGACAGGCAGCTGGCCATCATTTGTTGACCGTCCCACACTGTAGACCGTGGTCACCATCTCAGAGGTTAAAAAAATGAAATAAAATAAACCAAAGAACCAAGTAGGCTACCCATACAGTCATAGACACTTGTATTGACTTGCATTCAGTTCCAGGTTTGCTTGTTTCCAAAGAGTAGGCTTTTTATACCACACCACATGGAATTCCTGAATTATACATCTCTTTTGTTTTGTGCTTTATTTTTCTTTCCTTGTAGCTCTGGGGACATAATCTTAAGCAGCATGTATTATTAACTATTCTTATTTCATGACTATTTTGAATAAGGCCAGATAGTATAAAGTCCATATAACAATGCCTCCCTAAAGTGTTTATGCTTCTAGATAGAGGCATAAATAAAAATGTTAGTAAGGCGTATATCAAGTGGTATGTTCCTTTTCTGTATTTATGCTATGGGTCCATTGAGGGTATTTGGTGATCATTCTGATTTTTAGATATTATCTTACCATGCTATCTTGCTTTTCCCATCCATTTCATGTCTTCTCATTTAAGGGCAGACAGTATTCTTTGCATTGCATCAAGTGTCTTAAAATATAGAACAGATATTGATGATATTGATCTTTGGGGTTCTTGTGCATTTTCAGTTGCAAAGACTAAGTGTCAGCAGTGCTGTTAACTAGGGCTTCATTTTTTTTTTTCATCAAGTTTAACCTGTTGTTTATCTTAAAGGGAATTCCAATTATATCTTAAATAAAGCTATCTGGTTCTTCAAAGTCATTGTAAGAG